CCTCCACAACTAGACTGAAGAACAAAAGGACAGCAACTTGTCTATTCCCCTCCCCCAATTCCCCAATAAAATCTTTAAAAAACAAAAGAAAACAAAACCCATAAGATTATATTGTAGCGCTTTATTAATTATCTCCATGGGAAATATTAGAAGTGGAATTACTGAGCCAAAATATCAAATTTTTTAAACAATAGACAAATTTGTCCTTCAAAAATTTTTACCAATACATTGAACAAAAGCAGGGAAGCGTGCATGTGTTCCCCAATCCCTCAAAGAATCTGGGATACAGTTTCTTGTAATCAAACCTATCACCATTTTCCTTAAGTGTACATCTCTTTGTTGTTATATTTTAAAAAGCCTTCCACGCAATAAGGTTATGTGGAAAAGGAGGCTACCTTTTCAGAACTTGTTATAACAAGAGCGTCAGCCACCACCACTTGTATTTGGCAGACTTAAAGGCAGGCAAGGGAATGGGAAAGCTTTGGAGTGGAAAAAGGGAAGACTTCAGGTATTCTCTGATTGCAAGTTATCGGCATGGGGAACCTGGAGGCAGGATAATTAGAAGCAGGGCATTTTATATGTTTGGGTTGGCTGCAGTCATGGATCAAGTCCTGAAGTTGGCTTCCTGGGCTGCTTGCTGCAGAGGTTATGGGTCACTGTCATAAATGTTCTGGTCACTGTCTGTGGTATATTCAAACTATCACTTTAAAAACAAAATTCATCGTTCTTTTATTCTGCTTCAAATATAATTTCATTTCGAATTAAATAATAATTCATTAGAAAATTCATGTTTGTGCATGTCAGGAAAAAGGGAAATTTTCACTTCTAGGGGAATATTTTCCCTATTTTTTTCTAAATGCGACGTTCTACTTTGTACAATATTAAAGTTCACATTCATACCATTTCACTGAGTAGGTCTATGTTCCTTCAATGGAATTTAACAGCAACATTGTCAAGGCTCCTCCCCCGGGCCAGCGAACCCATTGAAGAAAGAAAGTTTCTGTGTTTTTTATTAAAATTCTTTCTTTGACCAACTTTTCACGAAGACGTAAAGGACAAAACAAAAGAACCCAGAGAGGTGGAAGGGGACCTGTTGAAGAGAGGCACGGTGCGCCCGGCAGGCGCCGGCTTGCGGGCGGGGGCGGGGGCGGGGGCGGGGCTCAGGTGACGCACGCCTACGTGACCGCCGGGGTGCGGATGTAGGCACCAGTCGAGGTGTCCGCCCTCTGCTTCCGTCGGACCCCGAGCCGTCTGCGAGCTTCTGATTGTCGCTCAGGGTTCTTTCAGATCAGTGCAAGGGTCTTCGTCGCTGCCTGTGGAACTGGAATTGGGCGAGGAGGAACAGGCACGGAAAGGAGAAAGGT